GTAATTGAAGGTATAGACATATATATATATATGTATAAAAAAAACCTTGAAGAAATATTTCTTTTGTTTTCGAAAAAGAAAGCACACTGTGCTCGAAAAGGAGAAAAGGACGAAGAAGAAAAGTTAGAAATGAAAAACGAGAATGAAGAAGACATTCAATGAACAACGATTATAAACGACAAACAACAATTAAAATGAGACTTTCTATATACACATACAATGTGAACTGTATTTTTCCTGCGACTGTTCGAATTTTTGTGCCTCACTCATAGAGAGAGATAGAAAACGAAGAGAGAACGAAATAACTCATCAGTTTTTTTTTTGTTTTAAAATTTTAGGATTTTTGTTTGTAAGGGACGCTTTACCCATAATTTCCGAGAGAAATGAAAAATGAGGAGAAGAGACTGTTCTTTGTGCATATCTACCGGGTTGATATATGTGAATATATGTATAGAAAACAAAAAGAAAGAGAGAAAGAGATACCTGAGTGTGCAAAAGTGTGAGAAATCAAATCGTATACAGAAGATTAATAGGCAAGAATACGATTATTACCAAAATCAACAACAAGAATAAGACCATCCGGAGTAACACATAGACCACTTGGTCGATCCATTTGTAAAGGACCGGAACCTTGTGTACCAAATTTCGTTTTAAAAACACCTTGTGAGGAGAAGATTTGCACACGATAATTTCGTGAATCAGCAACAATAATATTTCCCTCAGCATCGATATCAACACCTTGCGGACGAAGAAACTGTCCGTTACCTGAACCTTCGCTTCCTAAAAATCGAGCATTTTGAAAATCCGAGGATATGAACAATAATCGATGATTATTAAAATCCGAGACAATTATATGTCCAGCATGTGTAAAGACTACACCACGTGGTGAATCGAATTGTTTCCAAATGGGTCCATCGAAGCCATATTTACGTAAAAATAAGCCATCTTTGGAAAATAATTGTATACGATGATTGCGCGTATCCGATATTAAGATTTGCGATGACGACGATACTGCAACATCCCATGGATAGTTAAATTGACCGGGTTTTGTACCTTTTTCACCAAATTTAAATATATATTCTCCAGTAGATGTAAACACTTGTATTCGATGATTATCTTTATCGGTGACCACAATGCGATTCAATTGTTTGTCAAATGCAACTCCCGCTGGTCGATCGAATTGACCAGGACGATTTCCCTGCGTACCGAACTTTCGTAAGAATTGTCCGTGTTTATTAAAGATTTGTATACGGTTATTTGATCGATCAGCAACGATGATATTCGACTGATTATCACAACATATACCCCATGGTCGACATAGTTTCCCATCTTGATCACCTTCGCCGCCAATTTCAAATTCCAATTTCAAGCCGATCGTCGAATAATTACGATTTTGTTTAATTTGTATACGAAATGGATTGTCCTTGATCGGAGCATTGTTCACATAGACATTTAGAATATGCAAATTATCACTTTGTGTTATATAAGTTATAAAATATTGACCATTTTGACGATCATAGATATCACATGGTATAGTTTGATTTGTGCCTGTATCAATTAGACAACATTGAATATTATCACCACCTGCCGTACGTAATTCGCCGAGATGATTACGCGTTTGAAGGTTCAAAACTGTTAGACGATTTCTTATTGTGTAGTAGAGTGAATCACCGTACAATTCACATAGTGGTGGATATGTTGAACTCATTAATTGTCCGTAATTGATCAACGATTTGTTGATTACTGTTGGTGAACCTTGAAATTGTATGTAATCATCTTCGATCGGTTTTAGATACAATAGTAATGTCTGTTTCATTTTAATCGTTTCATTCCACAAACGTGTTCGTATACGAATTAAATCAGCATCCGTGCCATTCTTAAGGCACTCATTACAATCTAAACGAAAGAAGAACTTCTGGCTTGCTGAAGTTCGCTGGCGACTTACCAAGTATGGTTAAATGTAATTGTTTAATCACTTGATTCAGCTCATTGATTTGCCGTTGTAATGTTTGCGTTTTCATCGTTTGTATTTTATCGACATTTTTTATTAGAAAGTCTTGTCGTTGAGACAATATATCAAGAAAATATTTAATCATTGTACGTATTTCATTTTCAATCGTCGAACTTTTGATCGAGATATTTTCTATGGTACGTGTCGATTGTTTCAATGATTCATCTAAGTGATACAACAGGGTTTGTGATTCAATAAGAAATTGTTTCGTTAATTGTCGAGCACTATCAATTGTGTCTTGTAATGATGATAATGTGTGTTGCTGAGCATGGTGAATTTGACATTCATGACAGTAAGGCCGTGAACACATATCACAATAATAGGATGCTTTGGCAGTGGGATGTTCATAACAGAAGATGGTTGAAGACGATGCTGGTGCGGAGATGGTGGGCGATAGAGGAGTCGAGTTGATGTTTTCGCCTGCATTTGGGGTATTAAGTGATAATTGAGAGAAGAATGAGCCGAATAATGATTGAAAATCATTTGCTGAATTGTTATTCACAGACGAACGACTCAAGGACAGATCGAATGGTGTTGTTTGTTGAGGTAAACGTACTGAAAAGTGAAAGATTACCTTGAAAAATAAATAAGCAAATAGCGATAGACGAAATTTACCTGCGTTTGTTGGTAAAATATCAGGTGGTTGCTGTTGTTGTTGTTGTTGCTGTTGAGTATTTTGTCTGGGCGGTTGACCGATAATCGATCGTGGATTGGTGTTTGGAAACTGTGATGATGATAGGAGTTGTTGCCGATGATCTTTGAAACCGAGCATTTTTGGATGTGTTAATGCACATTTTTCACATAGAGATGTTTCACATTCGAGACAATATGTATACGGAGGATTGTTAGCAAAACAACAGAATGATGATGGAAGATCATTTGTTGATAGGCGATTTAATGATGGTGTTGAACTTGTCGTCGAATCCAAGGATGAGAACGCTGAATGTTGACGTTGTAGTATCGATTGAGTTGGAAGATGATTGTTGTTAGTTGGTAGACTGGATGCAAGTAAAGGGGAGAAATCAGTACTTTGAACACTACTAGCTGGACTGTCGCGATCCATAAGATTGTTGTTATGGTTGTTTCCATTGAGAAAATGATGAAAATAACGCATGAAATCAGTTGTAGTTGATGTAGATTCGAAATCGTTATTGTTATTCAAGTTGGATGAAGTTAATGGCGAAAAGGCATTATTTAAATCGGCAAACGGATGAAGAAAATTGCTTTTTAGGTCATTACCGGATGTAAAGGGATCGAATGTACTGAAACGTCGATTTGTCGATGAAATCGATGACGTTGAAGAAGCAGATGATGATGATAATGGAGAGAAATGAGGTTGAATTATAGACTGCGGTTGTTGTTGTTGTTGTTGTTGTTG